TTAGTGTGAGGAAGTACACGAGTGGCGTTTCTCCCACGAACGTCGGGAAGCAGTGACGTTCATGGAAAAAGACTATATATACACACACACACACACACATATATATATATATATATATATATGTGTGTGTGTGTGTGTGTATATATAGTCTTTTTCCATGAACGTCACTGCTTCCCGACGTTCGTGGGAGAAACGCCACTCGTGTACTTCCTCACACTAAATCTATTAATACGACCGCTCTCAGGACAGAGGACGACATCAGTGGAGTAATTTACGACGCTGTCGTTGTCAGGCCTTTTTAAAATTGATCTTCTGTGACAGCAGGTCTGAAGGGTTCACTGCTGTCTAAATGCAGCAGCGTAAACGCACACATTCAGTACAGGAAATTAGCTGGAGAGTGATTGCTCTTACAGTTCATCTCTACAAGCGGTCATCTTGGTTCATTGGATTTTTCTGTAGTGGAGTTGGTGATTATAAATTTGAAGAGGCTGACACATCCCAGGTATTCAGTTTCTCAAGTGAATCAGATAATAAGATCCTGTCGGCGAAATCTGACAAATGTAACAATCAGAGGGAATTTTAAAGGATTCTTTATGTCGTCATTCTGGTCATTTCTTAATAGAGATGTTAGCAGAATTACATCGTTGAGTGGAAAACAACAAAAATTTGCATGGAGGTGTTGGAGGTGAACGTGGAAGTATAATTAGTTTTCTAGTTTTAGTTTTCTAAATACAGTTCCTGCTTTGCGGGGGCGTCTTAGCCTTCTTCTGTTTGCCTTGCAGGGAAAATCTGATTTGCAAAATTTTAGTAATGAACAAATCTACTGTAGCTAGCCTAGCAGTCGTTAACTGTTAGCAGAGGAGCTTCTGAAAACCATCACGTTTGCAAATAGAAAAGAAATAGAGCGTGGGAGACAGGAAGAAGAAGAAGCAGTGTAATGGCGTGCAGCAGTGGTGCACAAACACGTGGGGAGTGAAAAGGAGCCTGTTCCAGCTGAACTAAAGGATGCCTCAGGGTCACCTGATCCTAACTGTAAGGAAAAGCCTGAACTTGCATGTACGCTGGGGGTGTCTATCTCCTGGATCCACAGTGGGAGCTGCTTCCACAGAAGACGCTCTGCCTCCCATTCTACAAACTCTGGGAGCCACAAGCAAACATGCAGTCTGAAAGGATGCAGGAAGGAGTGACGGTTCATCCTCATCGAGGTTTTGTATTTTCTTTTGATTGCAGGTCCCAGAATAACAGAAGAAGGATCGACGTGGTGCCAAGGAAGTGCCTTCAAACCCACAGCAGTCATGAGAACGTGGTTGTGTTTCTAGTGTTTCTACTTTCTGTTGTTCTCGCTGTGATTGACGGACGCCGTTGGTTGTTTTTGAATGGATGTACCTGTATATACCATGTATCTGTAAAGAAATATTAATTTAATATTAAATGCACCTATTTATTGAGAAGGAATGTATATAATAATTTCACAGTCATTCAAAATTTGATTCTTTTTTGGTTATTACAGTTATGGATGAGGAAGAAGCTTCTTTCCTCATCCATATATAAGACTCCCACTGTTATACTGATGTTACGCTCTGTCATTGACTTCATTACATTTTATTTGGCACTGGAGTGAACTAAAGGATGTGGCTGACATTGAGAATATATGGAATAAGAGCAATGGTGATAATGCACTGCAGTACTGAACAATAAAGAATACTGAAGCACAGCATGTCGCTATCATTGAAGATGAGGGGAAGCTGGTGGAGAGCAGTGTGATGAGCTCAGGATTAAGCCAGCCTCTCCAGTTTGCAGAGGAAACACCGTTCGGTGTCGTGAACGAGACTGCGTTTCATTACAGCTGTTATGCTGTGGGAAAGCCACAGCCTGTGGGTCTTTATGCTCCTTCTGGCCCGAGTATTTCTTCTTCTTTCAGTTTTCAGCACCTTTCTGACGCTCTCTGAACAGGGACCACCATTACTAAACTCTCTCCTCTAACTGGAGCTTGTTGCAAAATTTCTGGCAGATTCCTCTGCTTGTCTCTGGCAATCACACACTCAATCTTAGCTGTCAGATATCTTGGACTCAACGGGATGTTGAGCAACCCGAGCTCCAAAGAACCAGCTTTGGATAAGCTCAGCAAAGGTTTGATGAACTCCTCAAGTAGTCACACGTGAAAGGCATTTTTCAGAGTTGTAGCTGTTGATAGGGAGAATCTAAATTAGCTGCACGATGGCTGATGGTGGGCTTTGAAAACATCTGTGTACTGTGCGGAAGACTTGACAAATTGGCTCTGGCGAAAGTTTCTTGCAGTTTACAAGTGCAATCAAGCAGGGAAAGAAAACCGTTTGAAGAAAGTTTGTTCACGATCATCAAAATTCACTGATTGAAATGTGCTTTGTGTTCAAGCCTCAGGCCACCTGCTGTATCAGTTAACAGGCTGAACTGAGCGTAGTCTCCAACTCGTCTGACTTTGTGCCAGGAAAGAAAGAAATGTGTGTTTTTTTCTTCCAGAGGTTCTCTCGTGTTTTCTTTTAAAGCAGCAAACACCGTATGAGAACTGCAGGTTGTTCAGTGACTGATGGAGGCGTCCGAGCTGCTTTAATTGAATTCACTGTGAATTTCGGGGACGGGGGTCAACTTGGCTGTGGTTACAGTACAGAGCGCTTTAAACTGCTGACAAAATAAAAAGGTCAGAAATCTATTTCTCTTTTTCATGTCGTACATTTGTGCTCTGAGAACAGTGACAGTGATTGCTGTTTTTATTTGGGGAGTGAAATAAATGACCCACGTACACGTGAGGATGCTGATAAGCTAAGAAAACATACCCTAAGCCAAAGATTACAACAGCTCTGTTCTCACGTCAGTATGTCTCTGCAGACTTAGCAGGAAAGTGTTTCTTACAAGGGATCATGCATTATTCAACAAAGTTTGGCCTGTTGTGGGATCGTTAAAAAATCATCTGCAGCGGACATCAGTTCAAAGGGTTGTGAACTTAAACTCCGTTGAAAATATGTGCGTGGGGGGCGGGTTGGGTTGTTTTTTAGTGCTGATGATGTACAGATCCTATCAGTGTAATGTTTCCAGCATGATAGGAGATGTCCTTGCGCTGCAGGGCAATAAAATCGGTGATAGCCTCCCTTCCACAAATCAAAGTTGCTTAGGAACAGACGAATCCTGCTCAGAAATTTATGCCCCACCAAAAACCAGCATATTGCAAAACCAAATAGCCAAAAGGATCCAGATGAAGCACTTCCTCTGTGGCGTACTGTGCGGTAATGAACTGGACCAATTAGGCAAAAGGGTGATGTTTTCAGCCCAAACTATAAAAGGATTAGGAAGCTAAAAATACTGCTCGCACCCCACGGGATACACTGGGGATCCCTTTCCCTTCGGGCAGGCAGAGCAGGGACACCGGATCCTAATCTGAGGAGGATATCACTTATCTGGAGACAAACAGCACAGATTAGGAGAGGAGACAGAAGATGCACAGGGGACAGTATGTGGGAGGGCGTTAATACAATTACACACAAGCACCAAATCCTTCCTCTGGTGCCTCTGAGAAATGCTGCTGTAATAAATAGCAAATAGAGACCAAAGCCATGCCATTTCCTTCCTGTCAGGCGGTACCGAGCTCCATCAGAGCTCAAGATCAGTGAGGAGAAACGTGTTCATGGAGCCATGTTTAGATGGAGGCTGGAGGACACGTTGCTGTAAACTTCGGGCCTTGTTCGGATGTGATACCAGCTCACCAAGTGGATGCAATGCTCCCATTCCTGCAGTTTTGTTAGCCATTTGGCACTTACTAACATATTTCATGCTAAAACCTAAATATGGGCTCTTATGACGTAAATATCCAAGCCCTGCCCCATCCACAGAAGAACACTTTGATCCAAATGCTTGGACCCCAAGGCTTCATTCAGTCAAACCGCCTTATTTATAGTGATCGCAGTCGTCTTGATGACTGTAAAATTGTCGTCGATTGATTCACTTCATGTCTCATGATTAATTCATCTCTCTTCTCATGTCTTTTGCGAAATGCACAAATCCTACATGAGTCACCAATAATGTCAATTCAGATAATACATCCTTCATCGGGAATCTGACAGCTGAAAGACGACTGCATTGTCATCTTCATCATCACAGTCCAGTTCCTTCGTGGCTTTTTCCATCGTGCTGAAAGAGCCGTTGTGGGTTTGAGTGATGTGAAGAAAACACCTGTTGTTCTTTTGTGTGTTTATAAAAAGATTGTTTGGGGATTCTGTGACCCCTGCGCAGCCTGGGCCGGTCCGTGCCGTGCCGTGTGATTTGATGAGAAGTGCGCCGCCGCAGCTGTCTGTGCGCCAGCCTCTTTGATCGCGTGTCCTGGAGGTGTTGGAGCTGTCTTCCTGCCACCCCCTCTGCATGCCCCACACTGAGTGTGCTGCCACGGTTAGGTCTGAACGCACCGATTAACTTGAAGGCATCTTTTTTTCACCCAGACGTGACAAATAGTTAAGAGTTAATTTACGGTCAGTTTGTTCCCATTATGTGGAGAAATTACATAAACCTTCCTTTTTCATGATCGTTAAAAAGAAATGCTTCACATCACAGAACATCAGCGACATCAATGAAAGTGATTTGTGCACGTGGAATATCGTTTAGAGTAATGTTTCTGGGGATTTTACTGTGTTTTGAATTCATGCCAGAGCCACAGACAACCGACGATAAACACGTCATTTTCCACAAGATGCTTTCATGTATTTAGCAATCAATCTATCATATAATTACAAACACTTCTCAACCTGTGCATGGAAACAATAACGGCTCCATGCGGGTTTGAAGTTTTATAGCCGTGCCGAGCCCGGCCCAGCCAGCTGGATGACTTTGGGAACATGTGAGAGGAAGCTTTTTTATTCCAGGGAACATTGTGTTGCAAGTCATTTAGAAACGATCGAGTCCTGATCGCTGTTTTCATCCGAGACGGGGCTTCAAACACAGTTTTAGAGGCAGACAGAGAAAAGCACGATCTTAGAGAGCTCTGCTGTGTTAACTGATTATTGAGAAAAGTGAAAATCACATTGATTTAATGGTCAATAAAATGTGACTTTAAAAACTGATAACGATTCATCTCATAAGTCACGACTCTTTGCCTCCAGTACTGCGCAGGACATGCCAGGACATGTTTATGAGCTGTTGCACACAGACGCACAGACACGTTTCAATTGTAATGTACTCAGATACTTTCTTTTGTTTGTTTTTAACAGACTCAGCGGGTTTATTGGTCTGGCTACCTGAGAACTGCCTGAACTACTTAAAAGACTTTGCATCTGGATGTGAGAGTTCAGTGATTTCTAACAAAGCTAGTCTGGTAACCTGCCCATGGACGCTAACTTTGCAAAGAGTATCCAGGAGGCAGATCTGGTCAGTCTGGCATTAATTGTGGACATGCATTTTGTCACTGGTTTGTCTATTGGCTCCAGCTTCCCAGCTGTCCTCTCATCCAAAGACTGTTATTTCAGACAACAGAAAACAACATAGCCATAGGCTACCTTACAACCATAAACTGTGGGTGCACATGTCCGTCTCTTTTAATGAGAATCCCCCCGATGAACAGAGCACGAGCAGAAATCCTTGTGGTCATGTCCCTCTGAGGTTTGCTTGTGCAGCCTGTTTTTCATCTACATTTTATTTCTTTTTGAGCACCCCGTTATGGAAAAGAAAGGTGCCCGGTCCATCCACTTTAATTCCTGCAGGCCGTTCCCATAGCTCTGCAAGAGGCCTCATGACGAGCGACTCAATTGACAGGAATGCAAGAGTTTCTTTATGGGCTTCCAGGCCGTCGTTTCCTCATAGAACTGGATTATTTTAATTTATTGCCCACTAGTCATTTATAGCTACTATCCATGAAAATGACGTGAATGTCTGGATAAATCTATTCATATTTAAAATAGAACAGGGACGAAGCAGCGTTGAGAAGAGAGCCAGAGAAGAACTAATAACTGAATTAAAGTGGTGTATAAACATGCGAAGAAACAGTGCATCATGGGAATCCCAGCAGCCTGGCTGCCTGTATCATAACTAAGGATTCCTTGGTTTGTTTAACAGCTTTAAAGAAAACTTTTAACGAAATGTTTGATAAATGTAAAGAATATTTGCTGTATAACCTTTAAATCAGAATTCACTTTGTGGTGAACGGTGCATGAAGCCTTTCTAATTCTTATTATTAGACTTTTATAATATTGTCCTGTGAGCTCTCTGGGTTGTATGTCTGAATGAAGGCGCTCTAAAACGGTGCAAAAAACCATTTATTTAATAAACAATGAACCCAAAATACATTTAATCATTACCTAAAACAAAAGTTAAACAGGCGTGTAAAAAACACTATTTAGCCCTTTGTTCCTGAGTGGCTGAATTTTTATCATTTGCTCTAAGAGGTGATGAGTCTCATTTACATGCTGAAGAGCATTCCTATGAGTTGGGTCCAAAACGTTTCTGGATGCATTTGATGGATAAATGTAAAGATGAAGCTCGGTATAGTTTTAGCTTCGGCTGCCTGTCGAGCACAGTCAGCAGCTAACACTGACTGAAGTGGCTTTGTGTTCAGGACTGCTCCTTTATTTCTCTTTAAAAACAATAAGTACATGCTCTCACAGCGGTGACCTGCTATTACAGACTTGCTCTTGAAACAGAGCATCAACCCTGTAGTTCCATTAAAGCTGTTGTCTTTGTATGTGTGTCACCTGGGCGGCGGTGAAGTATCCGTGGAGTTTCCTGTCCCAGTCTGACCCTTAAGGCCATGTTCATGGTCTTTTCTGATTACCAAGATACAGACAACAAAGTTACTGCACTGCAGTATTCAGTACATGCTCGGTGTTCTGCAGTTTCCATCAGGATGGCAGGCAGCAGGAGGGCACAGTGCTTAGTGTAGAAAACATCAAGCATGGAGACAGCTGAGGTATTCAATTATTTTACTGTCCACACAGGTGGTTTGTCCAACGTGAACAAGCATCAAGGCAATGATGAGGAATGTCACACTCACTAAAAGTTCATCTAGATTATATGTGTCACAAGTCCTTAAAATAATAACATGTTACATATATTTTGTATAGAGCGCTTTGAGTCCATTTACCAAATATTTACCAGCAGAGAAATCAAATTAATTTAGTGTAAACTGTGGATACGATGCTTTTATGTTAAAAGGACCAGCTGACAGCAGAAGGCCACTGTGGTGAACACTGTCCTGCAGCAACACATCTAAAATATTCACATGCACATGTTCTTATTGCCAAACTTTAGAAGACCAACTATTCCCCAAAATATGGTAAATGTGCGGGCAGCAGAATCAGGCTGTGACAGACGACACGATGGCAGCCGACAGCTTTCCATGTGTCTGCACAACGCTTCGTCTCAGACGGACAAAACAGCAACGCAAGAAGTGCAATCGAAAGGTTCTGGGAGTGTTCCCGTTACGTGTGGATGGAGCACGTCGTGGTCGTGTGCATCAGCTCACACGCTGCCATCAGAAATAAAAACGTCATTTTAAGAACGTCTTTGTTATTAGGAAACGTTTTGGCCTGAACAAAATGTGTCAACATCAAAGTGTTTCCTTCCCCTGTTCTCGGCTCCGTTTTTATGTTTCTGTGACTTTGTTATCTTCAAAGCCAACTGAGGACAAAACCTGCAAATTATGGCGAGCTCTGCGGCTCTTCGTGGACCGCCCCGGCTTCATTTTACTAAAGGGCCGTACTGGCAGTAGTCTGTAAATCATCCCTGTTGAATGAAAACAAATGAAAAAGTACATAATAAAAACACGCAGAGTCATTATTCAGAGACATGTTGCACAAACAACATCAGGAGTGCACGTATTTTTGTGACCAGCGCCAGATGTGCCTCTAAAAGTTTAACTGCAGACCTCAGAAGCAGCACTTTGGGCATTCAAAATAAATAAATATACATCCATTAAAAAGCTGACTTCCAGGGAATGTGTCAGGCATGGCAGGAGAAGAGGAACAAAGCAACTACTTCGAAAAGGACGGCGGCCAAATTTAAACGGGTCACAGTTTTCACTTTCTTACGGGCTCAGGCTCTGAACCTTTCGATCGCACTTTTCTGTATCCACTGTCAAGTTCGTACGTAATAAAACCGACGTGAAATAAACCAGCAGAATAACAAAAGCAAACTGAAAACAGATGATCGCTCAGAGAATAGGCTCCGTGTCATTCCAGCTGACACATGCATCCTTCCACCTGCAAGAAGAGCAGACTCGTCTATTACAGCTTCAGAACTCGTTACAGGATTAAAAGGAAAAGCAAAACATGTCGAAACATTTCATGGTCGTTTCAGGGATCTGTCTGTATGACGGCTCTCACCTTGTTCGGATGCAGAGCTCCAGAGGAGGAGTGAGGTCAGCATCCACCTCCTGACTGCTCTGGGACAATCTGCCGACCGCTAAAAGTAAAAACATTTTTATTTCGCAGCTTTAGGAACACTCAGAAGCAACGACTTGAAAAATCTGACTGAAAACAGGTCCCGATTAACCCAACACATTTTAGACGTCATGTAAGGCAGCGGTCTCCTGCCTTTTTTAGGCCACGGACGGTTTATGCCCGACATTATTTTCATGGACCGGCCTTTAAGGTGTCGCGGATAAATACAACAAAATAAAACCAGTACTGGTACCGAAAAAAGAAGATTTATAACACACGTGAAAAGACCCAGGAAAACTGAGTACACGATAAAAACGATAACAAAATAACGCTGAAAACCGATAAAACCCTGAAAACCAGACATTTCACATCCGAGCCTCTACTCTCGCGGCCCGGTACCGGTCCGAGGCCCGGGGGTTGTAAGAGAGTTATGGACAGACTGGACACACGGGGCTGCAGACAAAGACAATCAGATAAACGATGCTACGTACAAACAGTGAGGCGGATCTCCTCCTGCTGGTTGGCCAGTCCATCGAAATAGTAGAGGTCGAACTCGGTGCCGCCGCCCTCGTTGGTCAACAGCTCCCTCTGCAGGCCAAACAGCACGCTGAAGTGGCTTTCACTGCACACCACCCAGATGGGGTAGCGTGGCGTCTTCAGGTAAGCTCCTACCTTAGAAGGAGAAAACCAATTGTCTTTGATCACATCAGCCATACAGAATCACTGAGTGATGCAATACGTGTACTGAAAGCAGTGCAGGCATCACTGCTCTGTACGTAAGCCAAACCCATCTTCAGTTTTATTTATATAGCGCCAAACCACAACCATTTATTCCCGACGACCTCGTGTGTAAGACGCCAACGAAGCGAACTACGACAGAGTCGACGGAACAGAAGGTCGCCGAGCAGAGCAGCAGAGGAGTGAAGTCAGACACAGATGGTGCTCCAAGACTTCATGAGTTTGGAAGCTCTGCACCGGCCAAAGAAACAACTACAACAGCTTTAAAGGATTTGGGTGTTTCTGGAGCTTTTGGTGTCCCGGGTGTGCACAAAAACAGCTGAGCCGTGACGCAAACCCATATCCCCCTTATTCAAACTTTTCAACTATGAGAGGAAAACCCTGCTCACCTCAGGGTGTGACCTGACCAGACAGTCTGTGAAATTCAGCCCCAGAATAATGCTGGTGGCCTTCCCTCTGCGGGGACCAACTGGTCAGGAGTTCACTCATTTACCAACACGCTACAAGTTTTTAGGAAAAATCCAGTTAAAAAATGAAGATTTTTGAGTACTGGTTTCCAAATGCTGCGGCACATACGTTTACTTGAATATCATATCGATTCTATAATAGTTTAAGAACATACTTGTGGCGATGCTCCCATCATCAGAGTGAACAATGGGCCAGAAGTCAGGGCTTGTCGGTGTAACATGAATGAAACTGGGATGTGGTCTGTTAGAGGCTCGGTGTTTCTCACCTTACAGATGTTATAATGTTCAAACAAGGACAGCAGGCCGACGTCGCAGTGACCTTTGATTCCTTTGAGCAGAGTCATGTTGCCGTTGCCCGAGTCCAGCTCCACGTCATCATCGAACACATTGGAAACTGCTCTGCCACACAGCAACAGGTTGACCAGCTCCTGGTGAGAAAACACAGTTATTACTGCGTCGTGTTTCTGTTACCTCCTGTAAAGCTTAGACAGCGTGGCGCGTACTGTCAACACGTATGTTTACAAACAACAAAGACAAAATGAAGAAATGTTCCTCTGACAGCAAACGGCGCAGAGAGCGAGCGGCCGAGGGGTTCATTGCTTTTTCACTGTTCAGTTCAAAAGTATTGTTTAGGATTTAGTGACACCTGGAGGCGAATCTTCCAAGCTACACTTCAAAGACACCTGATGTCGCACCATCACTGCAGATTCACCGCCCAGAAACACAACAACACTGTGACATCAGCTTTAAAAGCAGCTTAGAAGCTGAAGCTAATGAATCTTCTTATATCCAACTAGCACAGTACCTGTGTGCAGTACCCATGGGCTCCAATCAGCGTGGTGGTGGGCACATCCATATCTTCCTGTACTCTAAAGAAAGAAGAACCACATCATAGTTGTTTCACAGTCTGGTTCCAGCTACTTTGTTCTGCATAAAGATGTTTTTAAAAAAGTACTTTTGAATGGACCGCGAGAGAACAGCAGACACAGTCAGCAGCACGCAGCCCAACATCCCAGGTTCAAACTGTGGGGAAAAAACAGACAAAAAGGAAAGTGGAGGATAAACGTTTGTGCCCTCGAGAGGGAAAAGGAGAAGAAATGTCCTTCTCTCACTTGCTCAACATGCTGCTCAAGGATCAACTCCAGATCTTTGAGGTTCTCCACAGTCAAACAGGTGATCTAGAACAAAGACAAGTCGTAAAACGTCAACAGAACAAAGTTACGGTTACGGCTCTGAATCTTACGTAAGTTTGACAAATATCATTTCATGAACCTCACCAGTTATCTTACGTTCATTCTGATTAGCTTCAGTGCAAATATAAAAATGTGTACCTTTTCAAGCACCCCCTCAGATCTGTAGGGTCGAGCTGGGGTGAACTGATTTCTCCCTGAATTTCTGTTTCCAAACAACAAAACCACAGCAACACCTTCATAAACGTAGCGACGCGAGAGCAGACTCACACCAACGCAGTTCCTAACATCTGCACAATATCTGCAGATACAACACCAATAAAACGGCTGTGTGCTTCAGTAAAACTGGAGATCTCACATTGCAACTGTGGCTTGCTTTTCCTCGCCAGCCCTCCACAAGATCTCAGCCAGAGCCAAAACGAGACACTTTCTCCTGATGCTGTTGGACGGTCTTAATCTCCTGAAGGGGGAAAAAAATCTCATCTGAGCGAGAAGCTCTCTGGTGATAGTACGGTTGAAACTGAAATACAGAAGTCACTTGCTGAACATCATTCCCCCGTGTGAAGTAACAGCTTTAGAAAGTGACTGGAATAAAGTGCTCGCAGGTTCATGCCATGAACTAAAGGGTGACTTACTGCAGGCCCGTGGTACAGCTCTCAGTGCTTTCAAACAGCAGTTTCTTAAGAACAAAGGCTTGAACAGACGCCAGAACGCCACATGGACCTCCCTTAAAAAATTCAAAGCCACAATTAAATAAAGCCTGTGAAAATAAAAACAATTTAAGCATCCGGCTTGATTGACATCACCTTTCTCTGCACAATCCCATATCGGAGGTCATGCGTGTCTGAGAATGTGAAACCCTGATTCCTCCACTCAATATTGAAACAATTTAGGCTGGATCCAAGAAGAAGTGTTTTTAATTCCTAGAGGGAATAAACGGAAAACAAAGACATAATCAAAGGCAACTGCAGAAAGTCTGCGCAGCAGCTTGAGAGAAACCCTGGTGTAAATCACCCACCGTGGCAGTGCGCTGGTCCATCGGGCGACCGGCGAGGCTGTGTTCGGGTAAGGTTCCCCGCAGAGGGGCGTCGCAGAGTTCTCGCAGATCGTCATCATAATCCTCGATGTCATCTAAATAATTAACACAAATATATCCTTGAAAATCAAAAGTTAGGCACCGATTTGTTTTCAAAGGGCGAGAAACAATCAGTGAAGCCCCGGACCGCACATACAGAAAGTATTTGCCCTAAAATAAACTTTAATGCTAGATGAAGACAGCCCAACGCCGTTTTTAAACGATGAGTTCACTTTTAATGGGAAAAGATTATCCAAACCTTAAACTAATAACTGCTTGTGCCACCAACAGGAATTTTGGACCCGTTTTTTGGCAGAATTGCTTTGATCCAGTCACAATGGGGGCTTTTTTTTGCAAGCCCCTTTTTGTTTAAGGTCATTCCAAAAGTACGATTGTTTGTGTTGCTGCCAGTGTGCTTCAGGGCTTTGTGCACTTGAGCTTCACAAACAAACGTATGATTGAACATTCTCCTTCTGGATTTTATAGCAGAGAGCAGAATTTGTGGTTCCATCAATTACAGCGAGTCATTCGGGTCTTAAAGCAGCGAGGCAGCCATCTAACTAATGCTACTAACTCATCAGGGAGAGTCAGGGTGTGGCTGCTGACATCCACCTCAGCTTTCCCGAAAATTTATTAACCATGGGTAATTTATGAATAAAGAAGGTTTGGATAACTTTTAAAATCTGCGCTTTGCATTTACTCGGGTTATCACGCTCTAAGGTTAAAATTTGTTTGGTTTTCTGAATGCTTAGGTGTGACAAATATGCAAAAGAAATCAAGAAATCAATAATCAGAAAGGGACAAGCACTTTTTAACAGCCCTGTACTGCACAGCACTTACCCAAGACCATCGCAGACGCATCCAGATCAGCCACACTTGGCCTGGTCTTTGCTCTAAAAAAGAAAACAACGTGTAAATATTGAGAACAAAGCCTGGGAAAGCAGTGAGCATGAGGCCATTACTTATTATGTGGAGTCAAACAACTTAAAGCTATTTTACTTTGCTGTCGTCACCATGTTCAGTCTCACTCGCTCAAAGCTGTTTTCACTCGGTGTTCTCTGTGAAACGCTCAGCGCCTCGCGCCCCGCTCGTACACAGTCAGCTGAGCAGATTTCACTTCTGCTGCCTTGTAAACTTCCAGTCACCAAACGTCCATCCTGAGTGGGTCTGGTTTCCTCTTCTCCTCTGAGTAGCGGCTGGGACACCTTTCGACTGTTACGTTTTCTGTTTGATTCCTGAAAGGAGAAAGTGGAGGATTAACAGCAGATGAGCATGCGATCGCATGTGTTTTAGGCATAAAAGCTTTAGTACCTGGGGTACCGGTCCAGCCAATATGCCTCTCCTAATGCGATTAGTTCTGCTCCTTTGGGTGGTCTCAGAGGTGTTTTTTTCTGGTTCTTTTTGGATTAAGCTCTTCTTGTCTTGGAGGGAATCCATCGCTGGATGGTCTTTTTGAACTCCTAAGTCAGGACCCCGGAAACCTGTCTGATTATTACTGGACTTTCTATCGTTTGCTGGCATCAGTGAAGCATTTGTAGCTTGAGAAGGGAATGTTGCTGTTATATCAAGCCTGTGAAAGACAACAGCATATTCATTTAAGCACATTATTACAAAAAAAGAAAGTAAAATCAGTAGAAAATAATCACAAACGCTGCCTGTAAAATACCTCGATCTGGTCTGTTTGCTTGGAACAGAAGCCGGGCTGCGGTCCTCCTCTCCTCCATTATCCATCGCACTAGTTTGGGCTCTCCGTGGGGAAGCCTCACTGCTCACTGGTTTCTCATTCTTTACTTGTTCAATGAGATGCTTTACAATAACCTCCAGTAATGTTTTCAGAGGGTTATTTTGAAGCTGCAGTGACAGAGAGATCAGCTACACACGTTACCTGTTGCGCACCACAGCAGTCACCTTGCAGCTTTAACGCTTACCTTGTTCTTCCTGTAGAGATCCTCAATGCTGAGAATCTGCCTCAGCTCCGACCTGTTGTTGATACTGGCCTCTGTGCGTGGATGCTCCTCATCCATGCAGGCAATAGTCCTCTTCAGCCCCTGAACAACATTTCCAACAAAAAACAAACAAACTGGGAATTAGTCTATTTATTTCCCCTCATATTGCGAAAGCTTGCATCTTGGTCGCATGCACGTTTTCTTATTTTAAATAAAGCAGGGCTGCTTACAGACACGCTCGCTGGACCAGAATCGCGTCGACACAAACTCGCAGCGGAGCTGCAGCTGGCTAGCTAGCAGTGTTAGCGGTTTGCACAGAAACGCTGTGATGGGCTATCAGTCTGAATTACCACACGTTAGCCGACTCACCTTACGACTCAAATACTCCCGTACAAGAGACGAAGACACCTCTTCGACTGACGGGACCATGCCGAGGACGAGTCTGTCCGTGTTAGCATACATGATCAACGAGAAGCGGCCATGGTGTTAGCAAACAGCAGCGGGATGCTGCGCCGACAGCACTGAAGAGCTGAGTTAGCTGCTTATTGTTAAGGTCTTAATAAATCATGGCTGGGTACAGTTTAGGTTCAAACAGGGTGAAAAACATGCAATCTCCACTCGGTGTCGTGGGGTGTCCTCGCGGGGGCTACAGCTCCGTGAAACTGCGGCCCTTTCTGACCCTGTACGGCTGCGTTACCATGGCAAAGCTAGTCGTTCACGGACGCTTCGAGCTTTTTTGATGCCCTGGGCTACTTTAGCCTTGGTGCCCTTCTCTCAGGTTTGTGGAGAGGTACGCTCATTCTATCCGGTACAGCTCGGTAGCACTGGATTGGACCCCCCCCCCTTTTTTTTGAATTACGTTCGTTCAATTTGTGTAGTGATTTGTTCACTACACATGATGCAAATCTCCTGTTGCACCACATCCCAAAGCGGCTCTATAGACTGAGGTTTGGTTACTGTGGAAACCATGTGAGTACAGTGAAGTCACTCATGTTCAAGAAACCAGTCTGGGATGATGTCATATCCCACAGAGATGCACCACAGATAATAAATCAATATTTTGTCTTACATTGTTTGTTACGGACAATAAACAGCTCAGGAGCTGCTGCTGAAATGATGTTTCATCCTTCATTTAAATACATCACCACTGTGATTTTTTAAATATTTGATTCATGATCATTTCCCCTCCGTGACTGTTAAGTTTGGAGAAATCAGTGTGATTGTAAACTGTCACTATTTCAATTATCACACCAACAAAGAGGAACAATGTGTGCTTGGATATGAGAGAAGACAAAAGGAACAGACTGCCCATGAAATAATCGTGTTTGCAGAAAAATATCTTACAGCTTTATGTGACCTTGTATCTAATCCATGTGTCTGAAAGTGCTATGAAATGCTGGGAAACCCACGGTTCAAACAAGCTGACAGGACTGCTCCTCAGCGTCCTCTCAGACTATCACAATTTTGCTTCTTCTTGCAAGAATAAAAGAAAAAGCTCTTTCAGCACATCGATCGGGGTCTCCGTTGCCTTGGTTTTTATTAAAGTGGTGTCACCTTTGGATTTATCTGACATTCTGCTCCTTCAAGTCAGATCCTACATCCCAGCCATTTGCCAAAAATAAGGAACCTGCAAATTGTGGGAGGCCTTGGGACCATTGCTGGATACCTTATTACTCCCACTGACCACAAATTCAAAAGACCTCTCCGACAACATTTGTGTTATCTGAATCTTATCCAGTAAATTTACCAGGAAAATGTTTGATGATAAAATCAGACTTAAGTGTAATTCCAAGTGCAAAGGGAAAGCGAGTCATCAGGTTAGTGAACGAGAAGCTTGCTTGTTAAGTCATTGAAGTGCAGGGAACTTCTGCAACCCGATCCTCAATAACTTCTGATCTTTGCAGAAAAACCAAGACATAATTATGCCATTTAAGACAACTTAGCAACAACTATCAGAACTACATTGTACCTTATATTATAAACACAGATACCCGACCTGATTTAAATGATCAACAGATCAAAATGGGAAGCAAGCCACACACAAAGAGATGACGTCTGATGCACTGGGAACTACTTTGAGATAACATAGCCACATTTAACTGTAGAGAGCCTTATTGAGCCATGGGCCATGCTATGCCTAAACAAACAGGAGGGCTGGTACAAGGTTAGAAAGATTTCTATGTGATGCTGAGGACGACAGCAAGGGTGTACGATGTGCTCTGCCCTTCCAACCTTTCAACTGCATTGGAACCAAAGAGTGAAAAATCACCCTGCTCCAACCAGACTGGGCCAAGCTCCAACTAAGTGATGTGCAGCAGCTGACCATTACTGGTTGTTGCTGTGTGCCGTGTCTTCAAGGACTGATTCAGAGAATTATTATTACAGCACTGATTAAGGTCGATTGCATAGATGATATAATTTTATATACAGAGGTACCCATGATGGGCAGATGGTGGCCATGATGACACCAAGTATTGGCGATCTATAGCTTTGTGTTTGGTTTAGCTCCTTTACATATGAACTTGGTTGTAGCTTTTCTTTTGCGTTTATTATATTTTATTTGCAGTCTGTTTGGGTTCTGGTTAATCTTCCGGGTTCAGTCATATTAAGTTGATTCCCTTTGTGATCCTTTTTCCCAGCCGTCGATGGTCCTTCGTCTCGTGTGTGATGTTCTGCTTTGCTAGCTTTGGTTCTTTTGTGGGTTCTGTTCAGCTGTGTTCCCCAGATGTTTCCACTCTGCTCTTACCTCATGTGTGTGTTTACGTCTTCAGTCTTCCTCTGTTCTTTCTCACATTGTTGTCATACGTGTCCTCACAAAGTGCTGTACAGCTATTTGACAGTAAGAAGATGAATAAATAAAAGAGATAAATAGCAGTACAAGTAAAAACAGTAAGAATTTAAAAACTAAAAGGAAAAGAATTAAGACCTGTAGGATAGGGTGAACAAACATGTCTTCAACTTAGTTTTAAAAACCTCCACAGAGCATGTCTGCCTAATAGGCTGTTCCACAGAAACTGGGCACGAAAGGTAAAAGCTCTCCAACTGTCTTTTTTCTGGCTCTAGGAACCTTTAGAAGGCCAGAGTCCTGAGATCGGAGCGCACGAGATGGAACATAAAGGTGTAAAAGGTCGGAGAGCCGCGTAGGTGAGCAGCAGGACCTTAAAATCTGCTCGAACCTGACGAGGTTGCCAGTGATCTCAGAACAGGGTAATGTGCTCAAATTTCCCAGTTCTTGTTAAAATGCAAGCAGCTGCATTTTGCACCATCTGTAGACCTCTGAAACTTTTCTTTGGTAGCCCAGAAAGAAGAGCGCTACAATAATCAATACGTGAGGACACAAATGCATGGACAAGAACCTCTGCAGTGTCGCTTGACAAAACTTGTCTGATTTTGGCGATGTTCCTTAAATGATAAAAGGCGGTCTTTGTTATCTTTTCTATATACTACTGTTTAAGCTTTTTCATTAATATGTAGCTAAATTATAAACAGAAGGAAAGTTAATGAAGTTCTGAGAAATCTGTGTGCTTATAAACGCTCGTTTAAGTGCGTCTGTTTCACCTCCTGCTGCGCACGAGGAACAATGTGTTCTAGGACACGAGAGACGACAAAGGAACAGACTGACCATGAAATAATTGCTGTGCAGAGAAATATTGTTGACTTGTATGTGACCCTGTATCTAAACCATGTGTCTGAAAGTACTATGAGGAAAAGCTGAGGGGCCTGGCTCTCATCTTCCTCTCAGATTATAAGAGTGAGAGTGTTCTTGCAAGAATTAACAAAAAGCTTTTCCATCAGTCTGACAGTGACGTAGTTCCTCCTGCAAAGTGCAGGATGCAATGAGCAGCAGCACTGTATACAGAAGTATTAGCCTAAGCTTATGCTAGCACAACCTCGCCCAGAGCAAGGAGGGCTAGAGGGGCCTCCAAACCACAGGCGTAGACCCTCCAAATATGTGGAATGATTAAAAAAGAAAATACATCAAATGCATGTTTTTAAACTGACAGTGTGTAAATTGCTAAGACTATAAACCTCTTTTTGAGGAACTTGCTCCTTGGTTGAACGTTATGACCACAGGCCCTGTTCCTGCTGTGTAACTCCTCAAGTCTGAATGCAAACTGTATTGAAATCACGTTTCAGCTGAACGTGTCCTGAATACAAATGTAGAGATGCAGATAAAGCAAAATAACAAAACTAATACCTACATTTTGTGACAGAACAACAACTAAAGAGGTGCAGTTCTCATCAAGTGCAGCTGATGAACGGGCAGTGCGACGATGCGGTTCGAGGGCAGTTGCCTGCTTTGTCTAAGGCATAGGTGTCAAACTCTGGCCCGCGGGCCAAATTTGGCCCGCAGCCTAATTACATTTGGCCCGCGAAGCCATACCAAATGACTATTAGAGCTGGCCCACTGGTATTATACAGCTAATATATATATTGTTTAGTATTAAGCTCGGCTTGTTCCATATTCAGTTTTTCAGCAAAACGTGTCCATAAGAAAAGATTCATTCTCATATCTGGAGGAATAAATATATTTCAATAAATATTAACGTTAGCCCGCGACTTTGTTCCAGTTTTGAATTTTGGCCCACTGTGTGTTTGAGTTTGACACCCCTGCTCTAATGTGTAGTCAACCAAGGATGGGATCCCAACATGTCTTTGTAAGGGAGGAAAACTTTGTGCGGCCTCCTTCTTGAAACTGCTTCATCCTGTGTTCACAGCGTGTTGCAGTTTACTCAGCAGTGTTATCCTGTAGTTACAAGGCCCTTTGATTGCATTTGAACACAATACTTACAATGTCAGGTCACAAGACATTTTAAATACTTTGCTGCCTTAAAATAAAACTTATAGAAAAAAGCAATGAACCTATTCTGGCATTTCATTCTAGAAAGGTTACATTTATGTATTTGCAGTTTCCTTCCCACAGTCTTTTCTTATGAACATGTATAATGTTCTTTTATTATGTGCATGTCTTTATTGTTGTATGTTTTCTCTGCACAGCTCTGTGTTGGACAAAAAGATGTCCACCTCAGACGGTTTGGAGCCATGGTGCGCTGTCCATGTCTTAACGGATCATTCTGAGTATTCGAACATTTTCATGGTTTTTATGGGGAACTTTTCATTTTGATAAATTACCACCCACTGCATTTCCATGGCATACAGCTCCATTCATTGTGCTGTACTATGGATGCATGCTACACTGGGACGCTAGTGTTTGTGGAGTGATGATGGGTTTCCTCAGGTGTGGCTTGTGGTTACTCATTCGTGACGGGACAGTCCGTCCTTTCAGGCAACAGGTTGCAGTTTGTTGCTGCAAAGGTTGTAACAGTGAAAGAAATCAACAATGCAGTTCTTTGTGTTCATTTTATTAAAAGGTTTTTTTTCTATTTATAATATACGACAAGTAATCGGACATGTCTACTTTTATATTCATTATCAATCCTCGACAACTTTAAGTGTAGTACATTTAACACAAAAATGGTTGGTGCATGAAAAATTCATCTGTAGAGGCTGCAAGTAAAACTCAGGGATGCAGCTGTTTAGTTCCTGCAACATGTGGCTGCCTCTAAATCGTCGATATAACTGCTGTTCTTTAAGTGAATGCACATCTTACATTTAACATTTCAATACCTCAAGCTTAACATTTGCCATTTATGGACCAAAACATGTGATATTTACAGAACAGTACCAGAGCAATGCAGGAAATGTGCTGGTATGACGAGTATTGTCAGGGCCGCGCAGGAGAGATCGTTTTGAAGTTTTGGTGCAGCCCTTGTCGTGGGAACAAGAACCACGTGTTTTTGGCACAGGTATCATCTTCCATCCTAGAGGGGAGTGCAG